CATTTCGGTGTTGAGCTGTGACCAGGTGACAAGCATCTCGCTGTTGTCCTGTGACCAGGTGACAAGCATCTCGTTATTGCACTGTGACCAGGTGACAAACATCTCGTTGTTGCCCTGTGACCAGGTGACAAGCATCTCGTTGTTGTCCTGTGACCAGGTGACAAGCATATCGTTGTTGTCCTGTGACCAGGTGGCAAGCATCTCGTTGTTGTCCTGTGACCAGGTGACAAGCATCTCGTTGTTGCCCTGTGACCAGGTGACAAGCATCTCGTTGTTGTCCTGTGACCAGGTGACAAGCATTCGTTGTTGTCCTGTGACCAGGTGGCAAGCATCTCGTTGTTGTCCTGTGACCAGGTGACAAGCATCTCGTTGTTGCCCTGTGACCAGGTGACAAGCATCTCGTTGTTGCCCTGTGACCAGGTGGCAAGCATCTCGTTGTTGTCCTGTGACCAGGTGGCAAGCATCTCGTTGTTGTCCTGTGACCAGGTGACAAGCATCTCGTTGTTGCCTTGTGACCAGGTGACAAGCATCTCGATGTTGCCATATGACCAGGTGACAAGCATCTCATTGTTGCCCTGTGACCAGGTGACAAGCATCTCGATGTTGCCCTGTGACCAGGTGACAAGCATCTCATTGTTGTCCTGTGACCAGGTGACAAGCATCTCGATGTTGCCATATGACCAGGTGACAAGCATCTCATTGTTGTCCTGTGACCAGGTGACAAGCATCTCGATGTTGCCCTATGACCAGGTGACAAGCATCTCGTTGTTGCCCTGTGACCAGGTGACAAGCATCTCGTTTTTGCCCTATGACCAGGTGACAAGCATCTCGTTGTTGCCCTGTGACCAGGTGACAAGCATCTCATTGTTGCCCTGTGACCAGGTGACAAGCATTTCGGTATTGAGCTGTGACTAGGTGACAAGCATCTCGTTGTTGTCCTGTGACCAGGTGACAAGCATCTCGTTGTTGCCCTGTGACCAGGTGACAAGCATATCGTTGTTGTCCTGTGACCAGGTGGCAAGCATCTCGTTGTTGTCCTGTGACCAGGTGACAAGCATCTGTTTGTGCCCTGTGACCAGTGACAAGCATCTCGTTGTTGCCCTATGCCCAGGGACAAGCATCTCGTTGTTGCCTTGTGACCAGGTGACAAGCATCTCGATGTTGCCATATGACCAGGTGACAAGCATCTCGTTGTTGCCCTGTGACCAGGTGACAAGCATCTCGTTTTTGCCCTATGACCAGGTGACAAGCATTCGTTGTTGTCTGTGACCAGGTGACAAGCATCTCGTTTTGCCTGTGACCAGGTGACAATTATCTCGTTGTTGCCCTGTGACCAGGTGACAAGCATCTCGTTGTTGTCCTGTGACCAGGTGACAGCATCTCGTTGTTTGTCCTGTGACCAGGTGACAAGCATCTCGTTGTTGTCCTGTGACCAGGTGACAAGCACCTCGTTGTTGCCCTGTGACCAGGTGACAAGCATATCGTTGTTGCCCTGTGACCAGGTGACAAGCATCTCGTTGTTGCCCTGTGACCAGGTGACAAGCATATCGTTGTTGCCCTGTGACCAGGTGACAAGCATCTCGTTGTTGCCCTGTGACCAGGTGACAAGCATCTCGTTGTTGCCCTGTGACCAGGTGACAAGCATCTCGTTGTTGCCCTGTGACCAGGTGACAAATATCTCGTTGTTGCCCTGTGACCAGGTGACAAGCATCTCGTTGTTGTCCTGTGACCAGGTGACAAGCATCTCGTTGTTGTCCTGTGACCAGGTGACAAGCATCTCGTTGTTGTCCTGTGACCAGGTGACAAGCACCTCGTTGTTGCCCTGTGACCAGGTGACAAGCATCTCGTTGTTGCCCTATGACCAGGTGACAAGCATATCGTTGTTGCCCTGTGACCAGGTGACAAGCATCTCGTTGTTGCCCTATGACCAAGTGACAAGCATCTCGTTGTTGCCCTATGACCAGGTGACAAGCATATCGTTGCTGCCCTGTGACCAGGTGACAAGCACCTCGTTGTTGCCCTGTGACCAGGTGACAAGCATCTCGTTGTTGCCCTATGACCAGGTGAAAGCATCTCGTTGTTGCCCTATGACCAGGTGACAAGCATCTCGTTGCTGTCCTGTGACCAGGTGACAAGCATCTCGTTGTTGTCCTGTGACCAGGTGACAAGCATCTCGTTGTTGCCCTGTGACCAGGTGACAAGCATCTCGTTGTTGCCCTATGACCAGGTGACAAGCATATCGTTGTTGCCCTGTGACCAGGTGACAAGCATATTGTTGCTGCCCTGTGACCAGGTGACAAGCATATCGTTGCTGCCCTGTGACCAGGTGACAAGCATCTCGTTGTTGCCCTATGACCAGGTGACAAGCATATCGTTGTTGCCATGTGACCAGGTGACAAGCATATCGTTGTTGCCCTGTGACCAGGTGACAAGCATATCGTTGCTGCCCTGTGACCAGGTGACAAGCATATCGTTGCTGCCCTGTGACCAGGTGACAAGCATCTCGTTGTTGCCCTGTGACCAGGTGACAAGCATCTCGTTGTTGTCCTGTGACCAGGTGACAAGCATCTCGTTGTTGTCCTGTGACCAGGTGACAAGCATCTCGTTGTTGTCCTGTGACCAGGTGACAAGCACCTCGTTGTTGCCCTGTGACCAGGTGACAAGCATATCGTTGCTGCCCTGTGACCAGGTGACAAGCATATCGTTGTTGCCCTATGACCAGGTGACAAGCATATCGTTGTTGCCCTGTGACCAGGTGACAAGCATCTCGTTGTTGTCCTGTGACCAGGTGACAAGCATATCGTTGCTGCCCTGTGACCAGGTGACAAGCATCTCGTTGTTGCCCTGTGACCAGGTGACAAGCATCTCGTTGTTGCCCTATGACCAAGTGACAAGCATCTCGTTGTTGCCCTATGACCAGGTGACAAGCATATCGTTGCTGCCCTGTGACCAGGTGACAAGCACCTCGTTGTTGCCCTGTGACCAGGTGACAAGCATCTCGTTGTTGCCCTATGACCAGGTGAAAGCATCTCGTTGTTGCCCTATGACCAGGTGACAAGCATCTCGTTGCTGCCCTGTGACCAGGTGACAAGCATCTCGTTGTTGTCCTGTGACCAGGTGACAAGCATCTCGTTGTTGCCCTGTGACCAGGTGACAAGCATCTCGTTGTTGCCCTGTGACCAGTTGACAAGCATATCGTTGTTGCCCTGTGACCAGGTGACAAGCATATCGTTGCTGCCCTGTGACCAGGTGACAAGCATATCGTTGTTGCCCTGTGACCAGGTGACAAGCATCTCGTTGTTGCCCTATGACCAGGTGACAAGCATATCGTTGTTGCCCTGTGACCAGGTGACAAGCATATCGTTGTTGCCCTGTGACCAGGTGACAAGCATATCGTTGCTGCCCTGTGACCAGGTGACAAACATCTCGTTGTTGCCCTATGACCAGGTGACAAGCATATCGTTGTTGCCCTGTGACCAGGTGACAAGCATATCGTTGTTGCCCTGTGACCAGGTGACAAGCATATCGTTGTTGCCCTGTGACCAGGTGACAAGCATATCGTTGCTGCCCTGTGACCAGGTGACAAGCATCTCGATGTTGCCCTATGACCAGGTGACAAGCATCTCGTTGTTGCCCTGTGACCAGGTGACAAGCATCTCGTTGTTGCCCTGTGACCAGGTGAGAAGCATCTCGTTGTTGCCTGTGACCAGGTGAGAAGCATCTCCCCACCATTACTTTGAAGAACACTGCTTTATACCACATGAGACACATCAGGTATCCAAAAAGGGATACCTTTAATCGGTAACCTAAAAGATAATGAAACTATTCTTTACCGATTGATATAACTAACGGTTTTTCGTGGAACTAAATTGCATTACTGTATTTGTGTCTTGTTTCAGATTAGCCATTCTGAAGGATGTGGAGGGGGAAGGGAGATGTTACAGCGTTAATGAATATGTATTTAATTAGGCTATGACAGTGACTATATGGAGCATTATTCATGGAACTTTTGGTGTGTGTGTGTGTGTGTGTGTGTGTGTGTGTGTGTGTGTGTGTGTGTGTGTGTGTGTATGGTCTTCCATTAACCATTGTTTATAAGTTTCTTAGCACTAGCCATTAAAAAATCTCCCCAAAATTTTCTGGAGACAGCATGCATTGTTCACGCTCTGAGCGCCTATTGTTGTTACTCAGAGAAATCTTGAAATTGCATTCGAGTTTCTTTTCCTCACAACTGTTTATTATTCCAGGCCGGGCTTAACGTAATGGGTTTCCTGAGGTCCGTCTCATTTATTTTACAATTTTTTTGTTATGTTAAGTAAAAGGACACAAATGCAACTAATGTGACATTTTATTGTTGCAACGTTTCGCTCTCCAGGAGCTTTATCAAGCCGGCTTGATAAAGCTCCTGGAGAGCGAAACGTTGCATTTGTGTCCTTTTACTTAACATATTGTCGGTAATTCTTCCTATATTAATACTTTTTTTATACCAACTTGGGTCCTTCGACGCAGTGAAACATCTCTTGCTACTTCACATCTGAGCGAATGTTCCCTCCGGAGAGGAAGGTGCTTTGGTACTGGTGAAGGGCTTTTGATCCACAGAATTGTGGCCGCCCTTCGGTTCAAACTTGATTACCTCTCATTTTCCCGACTCAGTATGAAACATAATGCTCAATAATAACCCACATGGTGACAGAAACTCGAGAAATTGATTGATCTGTATATATCGACCCCCTTTTAGGATCCTCTTCTGCTTCTGAAGAGGATCCCAGAAGGGTGTAGAAATATATATATCATCAACCTCCTGAGTTTCAGTCTCTATGTAGGTTATTACTGAGCACTGACGAGTGTTCTTTATACTTTAGTTATTCATGTGATATGATAATAATTGTCTGGTGCCCCTAATCAATCTAGCGTATGACATTATTCCTTTAAAGCAGGCTTTGTCAACGAATGTGCGTGTGTGGTAAAAAAGAGAGTGAGAGTATCTTGAAGCATGGTACCTGAAGTCTGGTCGTGTGGGTGAGGCTGGGAAGAGAGCATCAGGGTAGTAGACCTCAGCTACCAGTAACGACACCCACCGCGGAGACGCTAGACACGAACCTGACAAGTAGTGACACTTGTTCGACCTGCAACACAAGACGTGTTATTATTACTATTATTGAACAAATTCTCTACAAATAATAATTACAGCAGTATAATAATAATAAATTATTATTATAAATTTTTAATAATGATTTCATGCTTACATTCTAGAAAAACTCATATAAATTCATTATTCTCAAATTAATAGATCAATAAAAGGATTTAGGGTAACTATATATATATATATATATATATATATATATATATATATATATATATATATATATATATAATATATATATATATATATATATATATATATATATATATATATATATATATATATATATATATATATATATATATATATATATATATATATATATATATATATATATATATATATATATATATATATAGTCTTCCACCGAGGCAGGGTGACCCAAAAAGAAAGAAAATTCGCAAAAAAAAAAATACTTTCATCATCATTCAACACTTTCACCTCACTCACACATTATCACTGTTTTTGCAAAGGTGCTCAGAATACAACAGCTTAGAAGCATGTATGTATAAAGATACACAACATATCCCTCCAAACTGCCAATATCCCAAACCCCTCCTTTATAGTGCAGGCATTGTACTTCCCATTTCCAGGACTCAAGTCCGGCTATATAAACATAACCGGTTTCTCTGAATCCCTTCACTAAATATTACCCTGTTCACACTCCTACAGCTCGTCAGGTTCCAAATACCATTCGTCTCCATTCACTCCTATCGAACACGCCCTACTCTATTTCTGATAGTCATTTACACATAAACACTCCACAAATTAATTTATCATCAACCAGAAATATTCGTTAGTACACAGCAGTAAGACCAAAAATAATAAATGCATGTTAAGTCATTTCAACAAAAGTAAAATATTAGTGCTTTCATCACTCACAGACACTGGGTAACTTCGACGGTCTGAGTAAAATAGCCTTCATAAGGTATCTGTACGACATAGCGCCACACTCCCTGGTAGTTCCTGGCGAAGACGGGCGTGATGTATTCCACGGCGGAGGGGCAAGGCGTGAGCGGCTGCATTCCTCCTGAGAGGCTGTTGATGGATCCCTCGAAGTCGTCAGCGTTGCGGTCCTGGGCCACGGAACTACTACTTTTGCCCGCCATGGCATTGTACAGCATGCAGAACCTGGAGACACGCGGTCCACTTACACAACCATGCAAAAATATTTAGCCAGCTTTTTAATTTTCTGACCTGTCTGTCGTGAGGTTAGTTACTTGTATATTTCCCACCCACGCACACCAGTTCCTTCTTGTATTACTCTGATTTTGAGATTGTTATATTTATGACATTGTAGTATTTCAGCTATACATTGTGTGTAACAAATTAAACCTAGAGTATTTCTAGAGGCCATATTACTAGTTATGAATATTTTTTTATTAGTAACCAAGACTTGGTACATCAGTAGTGTGCTGCCACGGTGGTAATTTTCTTTGGATATTGTACACATCCAGATGGCACAGCGAATTTACAGAATAGAACACTTAGGGATTTTATGACTGATTTATATGAGAGGTCATGTCTTTGAGAAAAGTATGGCAATATACAGAAACTAGTTACACCAGACTTGACTCACAGTCCCCAGTTGTCATCACAGAAGGCCCTAGCGCTCCGTCCCTGAAGGATCTCCTCTCCTTCACCCAGTGACCGGCTCTTCATCTTACCCTCCGACACACTCTCAAACAGGGAGTGTACGTCCAGCTTATCCTCCTTCAGGATCTCTTCTACCTTCTGCGTTATCTCCGTACTCACAGCCGCACCTTTAGACGAGACAGCCTCCCCGTCCACCGATCGAATGGGACGACGGATAACACGAAACTGATCCCTGGAATTAAATAAGACGTAAGAATAAAGGAATACTGCAATAGGACTACTGACCCAAGTGAGACTGGACCTTCTCTCACTCAATCATTTCCACATATTGTAGATTAATGTGTTTCATTCATTTCCACACACATATTTGTCTAATCTATTATTACATTTACTCATGGTATTCCCTTTAATGACACTACTGTTTGCTCTCCTCGTCTACAACCCTGACATGCTGTTTTCATGTGCTCATTATATACAAAATTGTTTGGTTTGGTTTATCTTTACGTATAAAGGTTTATATATAAAAAATTATGTACTAATGGATGGCTTTAATATGTATTGGTGAAGATAAGATTCAGAATTTTTTTCCTGAACTATAGATGTTATTTTTCTGAATGCATATTTAAGCAACACATAAAAGAATATGTGTGGAGGATTTAGAAAACAAAATACAAAATATATTAAGAGAGGTAATTTTAACATCGCCATAAGCACGGAAGTAACATTTAAAAAAAAAATGTATTGTGGGACCTTAAATAATATTCAGGGAATGTAGGAGACTCCTACACTAGCTCTAGTTCGAGAAATACTACCATAACTTTTTCAGCTGATGAGACTTGAGGATTTCGCTCCTTAGCTGTCAGAGATAAACATTCACAACTAACACACATACTGGAAAGAAAAACTGGATGACAATTTGATCCCTCCTGGACGATTATCATGTGCAAGATGAACCAAAACGTCATCCAGACTTTATTTACAATTTATGGGCTAGTTGTCATTTGTTCCAGTATTGTAACCCATTTACTTCTACATATGTCAGCATAGCTACTGAATCCCCTTACATGTGTTGTATTGTGTTTATATAGAAGATCCTTAGGCCCAGTGACTGTATGACGTCATGGGATGCGCATGAGTTAGTGGGACCCGCTACCTCGCCCTCACTCCACGCTTAGACATACAAGCAGGCAGTAACACGGCAGGCTGGGCCCCTTCCCTTACCACAGTCTGACAAAATATAGCGTTACCAACCAACAAGTGTGTTTACCTTCAACCATCATATCTCCTTCTGAACCCCCACGACAAATTGGTGCCAGCAGAGGGCCTGTAATTCTGATGTTTACAGCAATTTCTGGAGATAAATTTCTACTGAGCCGGCCGCCATCTTGTGACGCTAGGCCTGCTGAGAAGGTTAACGCTCGACCTAGCCAGCCAGCTACCCCCTCAAGCGTCTACCAGCCTCTACACTATTCACTGGTCAGTCTCTGTGTATTAGTATTTATCTGCTTATTTGCATCACTCCCGAGGGGTTGACCCGAGTTTGCAAAGTAAGCCAAACCAGCACGACAGTCTGTGGTGGGGGAGTCAGACCAAGTCCAGTTCAGCCTAGCCTTACACCATAGAGCCTTGTCTGCCAAGCCAGCTTTCCACCCCTGCTGTGCTCATCGTTAGAAGTTATCAAGCCATTCTGTGTGAAAGGTTAAGCCAGCCAGCAACTAACCCAAGTGTCTTAACCCAGTACTCAAGCAAGCCACTTGGGTACAGTCTTCTTCTTCGCTTTGTGCTTCAAGTTCTAGCCATTCTGTGTGTTTTATCATCCCTGTGGTGTTGTGGTATTTCGTGGGTTTGTTTTAAGGCAGCCCGGCTTAGAATATTTTTGTGCCTAGTGAGGGTGTCCCCAGTGAGTCTTACGCCGTTCATCCCATAGGCCCAGTCACCACGCGGTGTCTCACCACCGCCCTGCCTCACTCACTACCAGTGTTTTGTACTCTTATTACGGGTTCTAGCACCATATTTTAAGGACCACATAGGGGGTCAAGAGCCAGAGTGTGTTTTTTCGTCAGTGGTGCCATCATTAAAAGCCTTCTGTGTGGGTCCATCGTCGATCTAAGCACAAATTCCTAGATCACGTGTGGAGTAGCAGCGAATGCAGTCAGCAACCAGTCACCACCTCTACCCTTCACTACCATCAACCTTATTCTTCACCACGTTGCTACAGCGATAATAATTTTTCATAGAGACATTTGTGAGTGTTGAGACATTTCTTTTTTTGTTTCCAGTGATTTATTAGTGACATTCAGTGACTTGATTAGACTCTGTTTATTATATACTGTTTGCAATATTTTTTTTCTCTTCTTAATTCAGTGTTAATTTCTGTGCCTTAATTTATGTCTGTTGTGTTGTGTTTTTTTTATATACTTGAAGTAAGTACCTTAGTGTTTTTCCTTGTTGTGTGCAACATATAAGCAGTATAGAACTTGTGTTTACATTTCAGAATTACCTTGTGTTCACAGTATCGCAGTGAAGTAATTCAGTAATTTATTCCCTTGTATTCTGCATCACAACTCAGTGTTGTCTGTTATAATTTTTCTCCCAGCATTTGTGTATTCTTGTTTTTGTTTTCATTCATTTGCTATTTTATTTTTCTCTGTGTGTTGAACATTCTTGTGTTCATTTTCTTTTCGTTTAACCAGTGTCTAATTTGTCTTATCTCCACGGACAATAGTGTCATTATTTTGTGCAAGCAAGACAATTATTTTCCAAATTTTCATACCTCAAGTTTCATTGTAAGAAAATTCTAGTATTGTGTTTATATTGATAAGTTGTGTTCTGCATCACTGTAAGTGTTCAAACCTTGTTCTCTGTTTCTGCACCTATTATTTTCATATTTCATTGAACAAATTCACTCCTAGTGCAATTTTTAAGTTCTTGTTTTAAAGTAATTCATTCTTTGTTTGTTCAGTAAGTGTTGCTTAAGCTGCAATTAAGAGTTAAAGTGTTCACTCAGTTCATTCCTTGATGATATATTTTATTTCTCTTGTAAACTGTATTTTCTTGTGTGTGTAATTTCTTTTATCATTGCATCATTGACTCATTTTGCAATAATTCTTGTGCAAACATTGTGTTGCCATTAAAATGTTTCTTTCAGAAATTTTATGTAGTGTTGTGCAGTACTTTTGATTAGCAATTATTATTTGCAATATTGCTACAGTTTATTTCAGTGCAGTTTCATATGTTCTGTTCTGTGCATAATATTTTATGCTTTGTGTGTCATTTTATTTTATTTTTAGTGAATTGCTTTCCCAGTTTGTTTTAATTTTGCACAAGATTTATTGAGTCCATTTTAACATTTTTGATTGATTCATCATTTTATTGTTGAATTTCCCTATTGCATTGAGAGTAAAGACAACTCACTGTGCCATTAACTTATTTTAAAGTAAAGTTGAGCAAATTAGATTTGAGAAAAGTACAATTTCTCTTGATTTTCAAAGTTTTGCTTATTCAGTTGAGTATTTTCTTTTGTGAGTGTGACTTTCCTTGCTTGCAGTGTGACCTGTCAATTTTTATCTACTTATGCAGAATAGTTAAGTAATTTCTTCCCGTTTAAGATTATTGTGTCATTCTCTCTAATTTTTCTTGCTTTATGTCCTTGATTAAGTTCCCTGAGAAGATGTCCCAGTCACTTTTGAATGTTCACTTAGTGTACCATGCCAGTCAAAGTCAATATGAATCAGTCCACAGTACCAATATTCCCTTACTGGCTGAAAGACAATACCTAGCCCCTGAGCAATGTGTTTGTTCTCACAGCTTGAATCTGAGATTTGTTAAAGTGCTGCAAAATGTGAAGTTCAGATTAAGTTCCTATAGATTCGTGAATTACTCATTAACGTAGCCGAGCAGCCAGGCACTAGTAATACTGCCACTCCTGTCTGGACTCCAGCTACAATACCGTGCACGCAGGATAGTGTACAGTTACCTTGGGTTTCAGAGGAACCTCAGACAACCCTGGATGCTGAGACTACTATCCTTGTGATGGCGACTTGTTCAAGTACTCGTTCCTTCCCAGGGGACACTTTGAGAAGAACTTTACTTGCAACGAGTTATGCCATCTCTTGCTGATGCCACAAGCTGTTGCAGAAAGACGTTTCTGTGGCTAGTGTACTCACTTGAGTGTTGTTGTTGTCCCTTGTGTTCCAGATGGTGATCCCATCCTCGTTGACAGTAATCAGTGCATTGTAAAAAGTTATTTCTCGAGTAACTTTCACATGTTGTTAACGTTTGTAAGTGTAGTTTCCTTATAGTTGATACCTCGTGTCACTGTGTGTGACTCAGATTGAATATCAGCATTGTTGACCGTGTTAATTTCTTTTCCCCTGTGCTTGCAGTGAGAGATAGTAGATTCGTTCTCCCATGCTCATATTGCGTGTTATAGCGTTATTTTTTCAACCGGGAGAGTCATCCACTCCAACGAGTTTGTTCATTCCTCCAGTAAGAAAGAACCGATCCCTTGTGTTCTGGTGTGATTCGATTCCTGCTCCAGGAAGATCTTATTCTGACTGTGAAGCCACCAGCACCCATTAGTGACTTTGTAATGAGCCAAGAATTACTGTATCGAACAGTCGAGTTGAGTACTTCTAGCAGAAGAGTTAGTAATTCCACAGTCACTAGTGAATGTAGCTGTATCTCTTGTAGATACTCATTCAGACTGTCCTCAGTCAAGGCATGTGTTAGCCATCGCAGAAGAGTTCGATCCACCCAAAGATGATAACCATTCTGCATATGTAAACCTTACCCTCGCAGAATTGGGTTTAGATGTAAACAGCCTGTATAATTAGATGTCAAAGATGAATGAAACTGTCAACTGTGTGTCTTGTTATTAGCTGATCAGTTTGTCAAATTTTCGTGTTCACGTTCCCTCCGAGTTCTGAGAATTTATGATCTGAGTGCACCAGATTGCCTTTGCTGTTAATTTCACCTTGTATATATATATATATATATATATATATATATATATATATATATATATATATATATATATATATATATATATATATATATATATATAATATATATATATATATATATATATTTATTCTTCCTCAGAATCCATAGAGTGCATGAATACAGATTGATCGATCAATTCCATCCCATATTGTACAATGATTTGTTCTTATAAGTCGTAATGCATTACAATGAAACTCATTACGTTAAAAGTGATTATGCTAACACCCATTACATTAAAACTCATTATGTTAACATCCATTATGATACCATCCATTAGTTCTAAGTTATATATGTCTTTGTTATTGTATAGAATCAGCCCAGAACCACCTGCCTGTTCAGCCTATAGCATAGTAGTGTATGTCGAGACAATACGTAACATGACCGAGCTGTCAGCATAGCTACTGAATCCCCTTACATGTGTTGTATTGTGTTTATATAGAAGATCCTTAGGCCCAGTGACTGTATGACGTCACGGGATGCACATGAGTTAGTGGGACCTGCTACCTCGCCCTCACTCCACGCTTAGACATACAAGCAGGCAGTAACACGGCAGGCTGGGCCCCTTACCTTACCACAGTCTGACAAAATATAGCGTTACCAACCAACAAGTGTGTTTACCTTCAACCATCATATCTCCTTCCTAACCCCCACGACACATAGACAAGCACAAGAATCGTAGAAGGATGCTTCATACCAGCTTAGTTTCGTTTCTTAGGTTGAAAGACTTTCGACTGCACGAGGATCATTAACGCCGAAACTCAATTGTACACAGTCGTTAAGACTACTAAATTAAATAAACACTTCTAGTGTATACACAAGTGTTCACCAGCTTCACGGCTCGCGCAAATCAAGGAACCAAGCAGATAAAACACCAAGATTATTATCTGTTGATGTCGATAAGAACCCAAGTGGGATATTCACCTGAGGGGTACGTTCCTGCTCCTTAGTTTGGCCACCTTGGGCAGCGTTTTGTCTTCCTTCAGGATGGGTAGTGTCTTGCTGAAGAAGTCGAGGGTCTTATTTTTGATCAGCTCGCTGCAAGAGAAAAATGAGGAAAAGAGGAAAGAAGCGTCAAAAGGAGTAGGAGGAGCAGCAGAAGTAGCAAGAGAAGAAGGAATAGGAATAGCAGGAGGAGGGAAAGAAACGTGTGGAGCAGGAGAATAAACGGGTAGGGGAGGAGGAGAAGGAGGAAAATAAGAATGAGGAAAAATAGCAGGAGGAGGAGGAGGAGGAATCGACAGGAAGATTGCGGGGAAGATGGGGAAAAAAAAAAGTTTTAAATGGTGCTTCAAAGTCTCAAAACTTTTATGGGTTGCAAACTGAAAAGTTATTAATGAATTTGTTACAGAACATACAAGCCTGAGACTTAAGAGACTAAGTCACGTGACTCGCAGAAGACTGGTAAGTACTCACAAGGGGTAAGAGTGACCCAGTATGGACTGACCCATGGGGTTCAGGGGCAGGAGTCCGTCGTTGAGGTCACCACAAAGGTTGTCGAGAGACTGTGACATTTGTTCCTTGGTCTCCAGGGTACCTAGGTGTACAAAGGTGACTAAGACACTGGTGATACTTTGTTAACTATTTAACTCACCAATAATCATTTCATACTTTTGTGGCTTATATAATAATAATAATAATAATAATAATAATAATAATAATAATACACAAATAACAATTCTACTACTACTACTACTAATACTACTACTACTGCTACTACTATTACTACTACTACTACTGCTACTACTACTACTACTACTACTACTACTATAATAATAATAATAATAATAATAATAATAATAATAATAATAATAATAATAGATTAATTTTTAAGAATGTCTAAGGGTAGTAAGAGTTACTTTTAGACACAAGGACCTGTAGGAGATAATAATAAGGTTGATCTTTACGTCCTCATTGTACTCGTAGTTCTAGTCTGCCGTGAGCACAGACAACCGTGACATCAATAGCCCCCGTCGTGCCAGCAGTCTTGCCGTGACCCCAGTACTACAACTTCTTCCCCCAACATCCCCGCCGTGACCACAATGTGTGGTAGCTGCTACAATTCCCTCACCCGTCACGAAGGTCCATTATACAGTGTTTACAGCGGGGCCGGTTGATAGTGGCAGCAAAATAGCACGCAGAAGTGATTAAGCCAGCCTGGGTCATTGATGACACAGGGGGTGATTAAGCCAGCCTGGGTCTTTGATGACACAGGGGGTGATTAAGCCAGCCAGGGTCATCGATGACACAGGGGGGTGATTAAGCCAGCCTGGGTCATTGATGACACAGGGGGGTGATTAAGCCAGCCTGGGTCATTGATGACACAGGGTGATTAAGCCAGCCTGGGTATTATGTACACAGGGTTCGAAAAGCTTAAGCCCTGTGGTCATTGATTGCAAGAGTTGGAGGCTGATTCACCGTCCGCTGACGGTCTTGATGACACGGCATGGTATTAGGACGCTGAGCGGCGTTGACACTTCGTACACAGTGGTTTGCCTGTGCACATATTTTTCTACGAGTAGTTAGTTTAACACGATAAAACTGAAACAGCGTTAATGTCAACGAAATAGTTGTATGACGACCTGCGCGCTGTATGTACTTGACCATCCTACATGTTATAAGACTATACTCGTATGAAAGTAAGTTTAGATTAAGTCTCCGTCATCAGTGTCTGACCTCAATCTCAGCTTTAGTTCTGACCTTTAAGTCCAGGTTATAGTGTCTACTCACTGGGGTATAAGAACTAAACAGCACGTATTTGCAAAGTAAACCCCTGCTCAATAAGACCATGCCCCGTGTATAGAGACCATCCACACTGACAGGAACCTAGACTACGTATATGAAATGTAAAATTTTAGGATTAAGTCTCCAGGTCTTGAGTGTCTGGACCTCAAATCTCCAGGTCTTTAGTATCCGGACCTCAAGTCTCCAGGTCTATAGTGTCTGGACTTCAAGTGTATGGAGTATAAGGAACAAAAACAAAAGCTGAACGTATTTTGAAAAGTAAGACCCCTGCTTCAATAGAGGACATTCCTCATGTACTTAGAGACCTCCAGCTCACCTGGACAGGGAACCTTAGACTGGATATAGGGCGGTTTTCGGACCTTGGGGGGTATTTTAGCAGGTGCCTCCTCAAAAGCATAGTAGCCCTCTGGGTAGTCAGGCGTCTCCAGGTGGTCTTGTGGCACTGCCGTTGTCAAGGCCGCCAGCAGCAGCAGCAGCAGCAGCACCTGCAGGAGGATAAGAGAGTAAGAATAGAATCACAGGTCTTGAATACATGGGGTTGGCATTTGAGATGTGAAATAATCCACAACAGTAGTAAATATCTTCAAGAAACTGAGGGGAAGAGGTCAGTCTTCATCCATGGGCTTCACGAGAGTGAAGGGAAGACGTACAATGAAAGGTGACAGTAAGAAAAGCAGGAGATTGAAAATATCATCAAACAAACGGGAGAAGAGGACATGTCTAAGCTCATAAATTTTCAGAGAATAGGGGAGTATTCGAAGGAGTAAATTCTAATATCTCGTAAGAAAATTCCCAGGAATAAACCCGCCTTTGTCCTAGAGCCAAAGTCAGGAAAATAATGTGTGAGGCCTAAATATTACTTGCTAGAACCAGTTTTCTAAGATTCTATAATTATTCTTTTTTTTACAGTTTTTGAATATCTGGAGAATCGATTCAAAAAATGGCTTTGAAATCTGGCATCTAGACCATATAATTATGCTATATACTGTATAAATATAAACTTTCGAATGATGTATTATGAAGCACTGATCCTGACAAGTTGTACCACACAGCACTTACACCCCCACAGGTTTAGAGCTTTTCATGGATACATTATATTAATAATCTTTCGAAATTTTAGACAGTGGTGAAGCTGAGGATATAATAAACAGGATATTAGCAAGACTTCTGATACTTGAAAGCACTGTTCTGTTTGTTGCCATTATTGTTCACAGTATGTGTAAATAATCTTTATATACTGTAGGGAATTATTAATAAATTTACCGATGACACTAAAATATTTAAGAAATATATTCAAAGGAAGATTTACAAATGCAATAGAAAGATCTAAATAAACTTTAGACAGGAACTTGCAATTAGCACATTAAGTTCACCCGGGACATACGTAACATTCTCAGTATAGGAGAGGAGAATATCAATATCAGTTATCAAGTAATCTCAACAGAAGTTCATAGGTCAATGATAACTGAAAACTCAGAGACTAGAAAACAATGTATAACTGCATCCAAAACAATAAAGCTTCAGTATTTACATCCTGAAGCGTTAGGATTTGAATTGCCTTTGTGAGACCTCACTTAGCACTCACATCAATGAATCCAGGTCCAGTAAGCTAACTGTTGCTGCTACTGTGACCCACTGTAGTGCTATCGTCTACCACGCACCTTCACGTGTCTTTAGACGCGCATATGAATCTTCCTTAGCTGATGAACTCTTACTGGAATGCTGGACGATATCCTCATTGCCCTACTGTGGTACCCCAGCTCAGGCTGACAGAGTTCAACACCTTAAATGAGCCCCATCCCACCTGATGGAAAATGCCAGGGAAACGGTTAGCTTTTCTTCCCACTGTATAACTATCATATATAACAGACATACATTCCCATAAAAGTTTAATGGAAGATAGGTACAGTACCCCAGAACATAAGGAACTTGAGCATTAAAGATAAATTTGTATTCTCTGGAAAGTGGTAGAGGGACGAACGCCATAATAAAAAGTGTACGAGTGAATGGAGGATAATAAATGGATCTCTAGCGTAGATAACTCTTAGAGAGGACATCAACAGTTGTTCGAGCTGTGTGTCAAATTTCAAAGCATTCTTCACAGTGATCACTGGATAAATCACTCTACACAGTGGCCGCTAGATAAGCCATTCTGCAGTGTTCACTGCATATACCAATCTACACAGTGGCCACTAGATAAACCATTCTACACAGTGGTCACTGGATACACCATGCGTGAGTATAATAATCTAAAGACGGAAAAGAGATGAATTTGCAAGGCCCATAAAATGAACTGTAAAAAAAAGTCAAATGGAGGATGAAATAAACCAGAATATGAGAAGATAAAACAAGAAGAAAATGGAAGAAGAGAAAGACAATACTGTACATTATGAAGAGGAAAAAGAATGAATGTGTAGAAACGAGAAAAAGGAATAAAAAAGTGTAAGGAGTTGCATTCATTTTAGAACCTCGAGTAAAATTCTCTGAATCTTAAAAGAGAAAAGGATAAGAGGAAAGCTGTGAGTGAAGAAAGATTCAGTGTGGGATAATGGAGTATGATGAGCGTTATTATGCTCGGTCTCGGGGGCTCTGTCGCCCCAGGTCACTCTTCTCCCCTCTCCTTCCCTCTTCCCAGTTCTTCCCTCACTTTCCCTTTCCCCTGTTCTCCCGTCTCTTCCCACCCCAGTTCTCACCTCTCCTCTCCAAATTCTCCCCGCCTCCTTCTCGCGAAATAATACATAAAGGCGAGAGAGCGAGGAGCCACCCAGAGGACTGAAAAACAAGAGAATACATTATAAAGCCAAAGTTCACGTTGTATTACCTTCGCTTCTTCCACGGTCTTAGTGACGTTGACTCAGGAGGTTGGCATGACTATACAAGTTACAGCAGCAGACCTCTGCTTCTGGTCTCCCGTTTTCTGTACTTAATGTGTCATATTTTTTTAACTTTTAAAATTTGTAGCAGTTAGTATCTCTGCTTGGATCCTCTTCCGGTATTTAACAATATTGGCGAAAAAAATCTATCATTTCGAATTTTCTTTCTTCATTCTTTTCGTTTAATGGAGTACTTGAGAGAGAGGCCATAACAACGGCAGAAGAGTGTAGCAGTTAGGTTAGCCGTAGGATACCTGGAGTTTATTATAGCACGTGATAGTATCGGGGAAATATGTTTTAAGATACTGTGCGCTGGGTTGTGGAAGTGTTATAACTGCTAGTTTTTCGAACATGGAAGCTGGAGGTGGAGATGAGTGACTCTTCGAGGAAGTAGGGTCGACCCAAGTCTGGCTCCTTGAAGATCAGTTTAGCGTTTTCATGTACCTCCGACGCAACCGGATGTTGCTATCCTAGATACCTTGACTGCAGCAAGTGTCTGATCTCAGCAACACGTCCGCCTACCTACCCATCACCGACAATAAAATTGCGCGAGTACACTAAGACCTTCCTCTACCAACCACACGGCATTCCTGGTACCAGGAGGCAGCTGAGCTCTCATTAAAGTAAAAGGGGGCTAGGCTTCTGGGATACGGGGATACTTTCTCGGAATGTTGAGGCAGAAAGGGCTAAGATTATTGGATACGGGAAAATCTTTCTTGGATTGAAAAGCGACCGAAACTCATTTATTTTCTTTAGTTGGGGGAGCCATTTTTAAGCATGTGTTTGGATTCGCTTCAGTTTGGCTCATATATTTTTTTCAGATGGCCACATATTGCAATTTTAGTTGTTTAGAGTATGTTGTGCACAGTTTTTACTTAACGTATCTTTATTCATAAATCTGAAGACTATTTTTAAATTTGCCATTGTAGCTCGTAAATCTCTCGCGATAACTGTGTGATGTTACGGTGATGTTCTTTATGTTCCTATGTTCTTAAGAGGGTTGGTGGAAAGAACTTATCTTGAATGGGCCAGTAGCCCTGCTGCAGTGTTCTTCCTAGTAGACAGCTATGACTGGCGCTTACATAATTTTATTACACTAATCTTCATGTAGTCTATAATCGCTTTCTCCCACTTGCCTTACAACCGGCTAACTGGTTGCCCCTGACCTCTCCAGGCAGCTGTGGAAGACAGTCATTGTGAAACTATTGGAAAACTGTTTTGGGACTTGTTATAAGAGACTTGGAGAAGTAGTGAGGTTAATCACTTTACAAGCTGCTCGAGTGGCCTCTTACACTAGTTTTAATGGCTTCGTCCGCCATCCATAACAATTAGTTCTATTTCTCTTTTTCTCTTAGAAAATGGTTTAGCACTTTTCCCGTTTTAAATAAAACTAATGCGCATTAGTGAATTTTTGGATGAAAGTGCTGATAGATAATTCTATTTGGTGTTATTAATATTTTTTTTATGTTAAGCTATAAAATTTCGTATTCTATGTATTTACAAGTTTTTGTGTTGGGATAAAGGGAGAAGAAGGGAGAGAAATGTTTGAAGGAGAGTAAAAGAACACAAGGAAGAAATGCTAAGTAGAGGACAGGAGAGAATTTTAACTTCATTGTAGCTAAACAAATTTTCTATAACTCGTACTATAGATGTTCTGGCTATTGTTCTAAACAAATAAGTAAATTACACACACACACACACACACACACACACACACACACACACACACACACACACACACACACACACACACACGCACACACAGATATATATATATATATATATATATATATATATATATATATATATATATATATATATATATATATATATATATATATACAATAAGATCACAGTAAACAGGTGATTTCAGAATATGCAAAACAACCACTCTGAAAGAATAGAGAAATTCCAAGCGCTTTCGTGACTACTCACATTATCATAGTTCCTTGATAATGTGAGTAGTCACGAAAGCGCTTGGAATTTCTCTATTCTTTCAGAGTAGTTGTTTTGCTTATATATATATAAAATATATATATATATATATATATATATATATATATATATATATATATATATATATATATATATATATATATATATATATATATATATATATACATGTATATATACAGTGCTAGTCACGGCATTATACCGCCTTTCCTCCAAACACGTACCAAAACACAAACACATACCATGAAAGATTATATTATATATATATATATATATATATATATATATATATATATATATATATATATATATATATATATATATATATATATATATATATATATATATATATATATATATTTACACACTAACTGAGGTTTAAATACTTGGTGTTGCGTCCTTTATGCTTAATCACGTCCCTCAGCCTTGTAGGAAGACTCACACAAATTCTTGAGGGTTTGGGGAGGTATATTATTCCATGCCTCATGTAGAGCAGCCCCCAGCTGTGGGATGGAACTGACATCCTTGCCCAGTTAACTTCGTTTTACTATTGACCAGAGGTTCTCAATAGAGGTTTAGGTCTGGGGAATTGCCTGGCCATTCGTTAAAGAGCCTCACTTCACAGTCCTTAAATGGTACGACACAGTGCACGCCCTGCATAAAAACTGTAGCCC